GTCTCATCTAACTTGTCGTTCTCTGTCTCATCTAACTTGTCGTTCTCTGTCTCATCTAACTTGTCGTTCTCTGTCTCATCTAACTTGTCGTTCTTTGTCTCATCTAACTTGTCGTTTTCTGTCTCATCTAACTTGTCGTTCTCTGTCTCATCTAACTTGTCATTCTCTGTCTCATCTAGTTGTCGTTCTCTGTCTTATCTAACTTGTCGTTCTCTGTCTCATCTAACTTGTTCATCTAGTTGTCGTTCTCTGTCTCATCTAGCTTGTTGTTCTCTGTCTCATCTAACTTGTCGTTCTCTGTCTCATCTAGTTGTCGTTCTCTGTCTCATCTAACTTGTCGTTCTCTGTCTCATCTAACTTGTCGTTTCTCTGTCTCATCTAACTTGTCGTTCTCTGTCTCATCATCTAACTTGTTTCGTTCTCTGTCTCATCTAACTTGTCGTTCTCTGTCTCATCTAACTTGTCATTCTCTGTCTCATCTAGTTGTCGTTCTCTGTCTTATCTAACTTGTCGTTCTCTGTCTCATCTAACTTGTTCATCTAGTTGTCGTTCTCTGTCTCATCTAGCTTGTTGTTCTCTGTTTCATCTAACTTGTCGTTCTCTGTCTCATCTAGTTGTCGTTCTCTGTCTCATCTAACTTGTCGTTCTCTGTCTCATCTAACTTGTCGTTTTCTGTCTCATCTAACTTGTCGTTCTCTGTCTCATCTAACTTGTCATTCTCTGTCTCATCTAGTTGTCGTTCTCTGTCTTATCTAACTTGTCGTTCTCTGTCTCATCTAACTTGTTCATCTAGTTGTCGTTCTCTGTCTCATCTAGCTTGTTGTTCTCTGTCTCATCTAACTTGTCGTTCTCTGTCACATCTAGTTGTCGTTCTCTGTCTCATCTAACTTGTCGTTCTCTGTCTCATCTAACTTGTCGTTCTCTGTCTCATCTAACTTGTCGTTCTCTGTCTCATCTAACTTGTCGTTTTCTGTCTCATCTAACTTGTCGTTCTCTGTCTCATCTAACTTGTCATTCTCTGTCTCATCTAACTTGTCGTTCTCTGTCTCATCTAACTTGTCGTTCTCTGTCTCATCTGACTTGTTGTTCTCTCTCCCGTCTCACAATTATTTTGTCGTAGTAGTAACATTCCCCCCCCCCCCCCCCCCCCCCCCCAAATGTTTCCATCATCATCATCCTCTCGCGCTGGTATACGTCCCATAAGATTTGCAGCCTATCCTCCATTCCACTGTATCCCGTGCAATAGTTTCAAAGTCATGGATGGAATCCACTCCAGCAACTGTGGCTTCTCGTAGCAAGGTTCGTTTTAGGGTCTGTTTTGGGTGATCTGGTTTCCTTATTCCATCTGTTTCCTTTTTCAGCGCCTGTTTGGGGATTCTCTGTATGCATCTTCTCTGGATGTGCCTAGTATAGAGCCATCTCTTTGTCCTTTAGTTGTCGAAATCAGTGCTTGTCCAGACATTTGTCTGTTTTTTTTTAAAATTCACCCTAACTTCTTGTCGTAGTCTCAACCGCTCCCCCCCCCCCCCCCCCCCTTTCCCCCTCCATGTATACAAGTTCTTTTTCTTTTTGTTACTTACTTAAAGAATTAATTCCTCCATTTTATGTTAATTGCATACGATATTTTCATTTCATTTACGAACTTGCAAACCATACTGCCAGTTGAGCTTGGAAATGGTATGGAAAACCTTGCAGTTTGCCATCGGCTCCGTACTTGAGTACGTGGTACTTAATGAAAGAAAAAAAAATTAAAGGGTAAAGTCGGGAGACGTGAACCAGCGACATTGCACACGATTATAAACCATAAATGCTCTGCCACCAGTACAGACAGCTGTCCGCCTGTGTCGCCGTCCGCACGCAACTCCGTAGCCACAGCGATGTTCCTAAATTTACTCCAGAGGATTAACTCTGGTACCCATTTCCTAGAGGCTGAGTGAACCCCGGGAACCGTCCGGTTTCAAACACCGGCGAGTCGCCGCTGGATTTGAGAGCGAGTCTCCTACTGGATTCTATCCATGATGAGCGGAAGAATAGATTGTGAGCCATGAGAGACACATAATGGCAAAACAAGGACAGTGAGCCGGACATGCAATCACATTGCAACTGACACCATTGAGGCGGACTTTTAACCAGATTCTTCTTCTTCGCGTTCACCAGCTGTAAACTCTGGGGTAAAGTTCTGGTTCTTCGTCCACATGAGTGTTGCGTGCGCATCCTTTTTAAAGATCCGATTTAATTTGTATGCTGACTGTTGGTTTCTTGACACTCAGGCAGATACACTCCAACTTCGAAGGTAGCTCCCAGTTAGTCGACTTTTACGACATGCTTTTGGGTAGGCAGTTGGTTTGTCCCCCCCCCCCCCTCCCCATAATATACTGAGGCCCCGGAACCCACACAAGGATTAACCAGATTGCTCCCGGCACCACCAGTATTGGAAATAAATTTTTCTAAGCAAGGGGACAGAGCACCTGTGGGAATGCCCCGATGTCAATTCGCGATTCATTCATTCCACCATTACCCACAAATTTAACGTTAAAATCCTTCCATGATATAAATGTACCTAGAAAACCACTTATGCACACCGGGGTACATTGGCCGAGAGAGATCTTACCCCCCCCCCCTCCCTTCCCCCAAAACCCTTTTCCCATTTCAGCTAGTGACGTCCTGCTAGATATGTACATGTTTCGTTTCTTTTGCGAAGTAAATATTTCAAAGGAGGTAAGGACAGAAATGGGGGAGCGAGAGAACGAAGCAACTGGAAATCTTCCTGATATTTCCGTAGCCTGGCGTGAATAATTCATCCCATAGCGATACGTCACAGTTTGGCTGCAACTGTCACTTGTTGTGAAGGAACTATATTCCATGGCGCCGCTGGGCCCCAGCTATTTTGCCCGCCATCTATTCACCCCAATTTAAGCAAAAGTCGCCCATATTGGCATGTTGCTTTTGATTTTTGCTTACGTTACATCAGCGACAGCCTGTGTATTTTTTAGCCAATCAATCATTGACAACTCAATAGCATTGACCAATCTCCTTGCTGAGGTTAGAGGGCGCGGAAGAAGAAGAAAAAAATAGAGCCGTTCTTGTTTTCTCCATGTCACATTCCAATTTCATTTTTTTTTTTAAAACCCTATTCTCCTCATTTCTCTCTGTCTTGTCGGGCTGATTTCCAGAAATTTTCCAGAATAAAAACAGACGCCCTGGTTGATTTTTTGTGTGTATCGTGTATGAAAGAACGACAGCTAGAAAACAAGCAGAAGAAAAAGAAACGAAGACAGGAATGAAAGACAACGACATTGACAAATAGGGTATATATAAAAGTGCAGAAGTGAATGAGAGACCAAAATAACAGACATTAGATAGTCAAAAACAGCAAATCAAACATTAGGGAAGAAAGAAATCCATTAAAGCATACATATAATTAATTTCTGTTTGTTTCGCTCATAAAAGAGCGGTTGGCACTTTATGTTAGAGTTTACAGCTGGGCTGCGATATCTGCGTCTTTCAGCCCAACACACCCGATCTCAGGAAACCCTCTTTATTAGTCGCTTTATACAACATATTTGTTGGATGCATTTAGTCCAGTGATTCCCAAACTTTGCGCGGAGTCGCCACCCTCTTCACAGGGGCGCCGCGAAATATTCGAAGATATACCAGTCTTATTTTTTTCTTTATGTCTTACTTACGAATAAGTAAAAGTAAAGTAAAGGGCCCTTTTCCATGCCTTTAGGCGTATAGGGCATATAGGGCTAGACCTGTATTTTTATAGATTAACTGGCACAAGATGGTTGATGTGGTCAGCATCACGCCGGTCGCCTTTACTTCCCGGAATGCACCCGGTACCCACTCAAGGCTGAGTCGACCTGGTAGTCATGGTCATTTAAAAAAAAAAAGTCCCCTTCCGCCAGGGAGTGAACCCACGACCTTCCGATCCGCACGCGAGCGTCTAGTCGCTACGCCACGGCGATTCCTTACTTACGAATAGTCATTATTTATTTTTATTTTATTTTAGGGCGCTGTGGGGAAAATTAATTTAAAAAAGGCCCGGCGACTAATAAGAGTTTTAGTCTATTCTTTCTAGGAAATTAACAAAATGTCTAATCTAAAGTATCTTTAAAAAAGTGTTCACAAATCTCAGTATACAGGCCTGGTGGTGTTTGTATTTGTGATTAGTGTTTACTTGTGTGTGGGAGTCGCTGTGGTGTAGTGGCTAGGCTCTTGCCTGCTGGTCGAAATGTGTTGGGTTCAGGTTCTGACGAAACCAGACTTTTTTTTCCCCCCTTCAAAAACGACACGGACTCCCAGGTTGACCCAGGCTGAGTGGCCTATAGGTAACTTCCTGGGAAGTCAAGGCGGTTCGCGTGATGCTGGCCACATCATCCACCAAGTGTCGATTTTCTTTTTTTTCCCTGTAAAATATAGATCTAGCTCTCGTTGTTTGCTGATTTCCACTGCTCCTAGTTTACTGGTCATAATCTGCTGTTTAACATTTACAGACCCATTGTTTTTTTTAATTATTATCTGACACCAGCTGTCCAACATTTATTGTACCACACCTGCTATCCAATATCCACTATCCCATATCACTAACACCCACTGTCCCATATCACTAACATCCACTGTCCCATATCACTAACATCCACTGTCCCAAATCACCACTGCCTCAAATCAACTGACAATAATCTACAGTTTCACATTCACTGTCCCACATCCACTGTACTACACTAGCTGTCTAATATCTGTTGTCCCACATCCATGTTTCTACATTCACTGTACTGCAAAAACACTAAACGAGGCAGGCCAATAAGAAGCAGAAGAAGATACGATGATGATGATAATCATGATCAGGATGATGATGATGATAATGGTAAAGAAGTAGTAGTAGCTCCCAGAAATGACCGTGAAGAGCCTGATGTTTGTAGTAGTTCCCAGAAATGAGCATGAAGAGCCTGATGTTTGCAGAGTACATGTTCTAATGACTGGCACCTAATCTCTCGCAGGAAGTGGTCTTGCGGCGAGCCTGCAGTCAGGAAAAGCTGGGCCTGACCTTGTGTTACGGATCTCTGGAGGACGAGCTCACAGAAATCTTCATCAGCGAGGTATGTACAGTTCAGGGTCTGAGGGCTTTCATTCATTCATCCACTCATTCATTTGTTAATTCATTCAGTTGTTCTTTGGTTCATTCATTCATTTGTTCATTCATTCTTTCGTTCATTTATTCATTCATTCGTGTGACCATTCCTTCCGTTGTTCGTTCATTCATTTATTTGTTTATTCTCTTCTTAATTTATTTGTTCATTCCTTCCTTCATTTAGTCCTTCCTTCGTTCATTCATTCTTTTATTCATTCATTCGTTTGTTCATTCAGTCGTTCATTCATTCGTTCGTTCATTCATTCATTCATTCTTCATTCAATCATTGGTTCGTTTATTCATTCGTTCATTCTCTTGTTCATTTATTTGATCATTCCTTCCTTTATTCGTTCATTCAATCGATGTCCTGTTGTGCCGTTATATGCCACATTGGGCTTGCTGTCTTTTCCTCCATTCCATTATATCTTGTACAATAACTTTAAATATGATGGATGAAATCTAGTCATGCACCTTTGGCCTCTCTCATCAACTTTCGTTTAATGGTTTCTTTTGGATGTCCTCGCTTCTTCAGTCCCCATATTTCCTGTTTTAGTGTCTGGTGACTGTCTGCTCGTTCAGTCTCAGGATGTGCCTATTGCAGCGCCATCTTCTTTGTCTTATCACTGTTGTTACCAGTGGAGAGTGTTAACATGTTACATAGAACCTGTACTGCTGTATGGCAGTGAATAAATTAAGAAGAATTTAGAAGCAACAGAGATGTGTTTTCTGATACGAATGCTACGGATACCTTGGACAGCCAAAATAACTAACAACGATTGCTTGAAAGAAGCTAATAAAATTATATCTCTATTTTAAACAAAAAAAGATAAACACTGTTTTTTTGGCCACATAATGAGAAGAAAGGAATTAGAAAAAAAAACATCGTGACAACTAGAAAGATCAGGTAAAGAGGGGTAGAGGCGGACTAAGAAACAGATAGGCTGAAACGATGGCATGGAGGGATATCATCAAGAGAGCTGTTCCAGGCAATCAGGGATCGTGGTTTGTGGAGATTCTTAAGGGCCTACGCCAACTGGCAAGGCACATGATGATGATGACCAGTGGTTGCCCTGACATTTTTTGTTTCACTCGAATTCTCCAATTTTTTTTTTTTTTTTTCAACATTTTTATCCGGGAATCTGTTTTCAGATACATTAAGCTTCGTTTCATGTGTTGTGTCCGGTGTCATGTTGACCATATCACAATACCCCCTTCCGATTGGTCTATAAAATATAGGGCTAGCCCTAAACACACAATACATCTAAAGGCATGTAAAAAGGTCCTTTTATAACTTTATTTACTTACAACATGTCTTGTGATTCTTCAATTTTACTGTCATATGTAAAATTAAAAATACATAACTTAGTGTTACAAGCTATATAGATTACAGTTCCATAGTGTTTACAGCTATAGTTCCATTGTGTTTACAACTAGACAGATTACAGTTCCACAGTGTTTACAACTATACAGATTACAGTTCTGTAGTGTTTACAACTATACAGATTATAGTTCCATAGTGTTTGCAACTATAGAGATTACAGTTCAATAGTTTTTACAACTCTACAGATTACAGTTCTATAGTGTTTACAACTATACAGATTACAGTTCCATAGTGTTTACAACTATACACATTACAGTTCCATAGTGTTTACAACTATACAGATTACAGTTCTATAGTGTTTACAACTATACAGATTACAGTTCCATAGTGTTTACAACTATACACATTACAGTTCCATAGTGTTTACAACTGTACAGATTACAGATCCACAGTGTTTACAGCTATACAAATTACAGTTCCATATTTTGCTTAGGCACTTGAACAAGAGTTCGTCATCCCCCATGTGGGATACAAAGGGGCTTCAGTGCTGACAGTATTATCCAGAATGGCTCGGTCGCTTCCCACAGATTAACCGCTCACCCGCCTAATGCGGCACAAAGCGCAGTACTCCTGTTTTACCGATTATCGTTATGGGGGGAGGGGGGGGGGAGCAGCGTCACTGGAAACACGAAAACCTTCATAGGGCCAAGTAAATGTATTCAGCACTGGAGAAGGTAGGGGGGGGGGGGGTGGGGGTTGGCGTATTACCTTCGCATGCCATATCCTCTCCATATGTTTCTTTCTAAGGCATTAGCATGCATTGTAAAAAATATTTCGACAATGTATCTAAAGCAGCTTACATCGCTATCTAAAAACCTTAAGAAAAATCCATAGAAGGACACGAACTTCTACGTCTTTGACAAAACGGGCACATAATGTTGATACAATCAATAATTTTCCAATCCGTGCCCCCCCCCCCTCCCTTTTCCCCCTTTCCAGCTCGCCTCTGGACAAACCAACTGGACATAGAATATTAACTGCAGTTAAAAGATAGGAAAATATTGTTCAAGGGAGATCAATCTGGGGGAAAAAAAGCTCACAATGTTTCCTTGACAACGAATGTTTATGTTGTAAACGGAATGCGATGATCTAGGTCGGAGCTTTTCAAACTTTTTATGCTGGTGATAGACGATTTTGACAAACATAATTTCGCAACACAGTCTTTCAGTCTGTTTGCAAACCAAAGTGATAAATACAATATAAAATGCAACTAGAAAGCTCGACTGAAGTAATGGGGGGGGGGGGGTGGGGGGGGGGGGGGGGGGGGGGGGGGGGGGGGCGTCGTACACTCGGGGGGGGGGGGGGGGGGAGGGTGGGGGGGGAGGGGGGGGGGGGGGGGGGGAACACACACCGTTATACAAATAACCCCAATGTTTCGAGCAGTCTTTATGAATACTTACCAGAACTTTTGGTTTAACGTTGCCTGCTGATTATTATGCTTAACCTTTTTACATTAGCGCGACACACCTTCACACTGCAGCCGACACACTAATGTCTTCTTCTTAACGTTAACCTACTGTAAACTCCAGTAGAAAATTCTGGTTGTTTGTCTATTTCTAGACTTTGTTCTTGTTCCAGAACTTGAATTCTACACGCACATCCGTTTTATAGAACAAGCCTGTAGAACGCAAACTGTTGATTCTGCTTTCAGACAGATGCACTCCGCCTTGTACGACATGCTTGTTAGGGAGGTAATATCTGATCCCTTAACCTTCAAAATGGAACCCCGGAACCCGCACAGAGAAGCTTTTACTGCAGCGGTTCTCAACCTGTGAGTCGCGACCCCTTTTTTTGGGGTCGAACGACCCTTTCACAGGGGTCGCCTAAGACCATCGGAAAAACATATTCACTGAAGTTATGAAGTAGTAACAAAAATAATTGTATAGTTGGGAGTCGCCACAACGTGTGGAACTAATAAAGGGTCCCGGCGTTAGGAAGGTGGAGAACCACAACACTAATGTGTCGTGGCACCCGGTCTGGAAAGCTCTGATCTATGCATTACACAGAACGGTTGTGTGCACAGTATGGCCACATGAAATCTGCTGGGAATTGTTAAATATTTACGATTATGAGAATGTGTGAAGGGGCACGCCAGGGGAGATAGTCGTTGCTATTATCAATAGACCATATAACCTCTTCTTAGATGACTCCTACCAGAAGTTCAGTAGTTAGAAGTATCATTAAAACACTTAACATTTCTTATCGACATTGGCTCCTTTGTTAGTTTATGTCTGATATTAAAACTCTGGCACACAGAATAAAATTATGATACGCATTGCCAGGACAACCCCCGCGTTTACCAGCCTAAATAAAATAAGGAATTGTAAAAAAATATTTTAGGAAACAAATTTACATATTTTCAATGCCAATGCGGTTTCAAGTATAACTATATGCGTCTTCACGTTCACGGGCTCTGATTGTACGTCCACCTCTATTCCAGGACCTGAGTGTTACATGCACATCCGTTTTACAGATCTGACTTATTTGCATACAGACTGTTGGTTCTTTGCCTCTCATGAAGATGTACGTCACGGGAAATCCCCCCTAATTACTCGACTCCGCGGCACGACAGTTTTTAAAAAAATCCACACAAAACCAGCTTACAGTCTTGCACCAAGCACTTAGCTCGATGGCTAGGCGACGGAACCTACAGATTCCCAATCCAGAAATTGGGAAATTCCATCAGCAGACCGCGTCAGTTACATAAAGGGTAGGAGCTTGTGAAAACCGCCGCTCTATCCCCATAACGTGCATGTATCTAAACACCACTATTCCCTTTTTATAAAGTCCTTATGAGGTGCACGAAGAAGAGAAAAGAACTAGTAGTAGTAGCAGCAGCAGCAGCAGCAGCAGCATCAGCAGCAGCAGCAGCAGTAGTAGTAGTAGTAGTAGTAGTAGTAGTAGTAGTAGTAGTAGTAGTAGTAGTAGTAGTAGTAGTAGTAGTAGTAGAGGAGGAGTTGGTGGAAGGAAGAAGAGGAAGAATTACTTCGATGAGGAAAAAGAGGAATTAGGATAGGTGTAGAAGGAAGAGAAGAAGAAGAAGGACGAGTATGAGGATGAATTATTTCTAAAGACACCATAACATGCCGCCTGGAATTGTACCGACCGAAAACTGTAAGTCTTTTTTTTTTTTTTTGGTCGCTTCCTGTCATAGGTGCTACAGTACAGTAATTAATTAACCAATGTTTTAATGTGTCCATTGTTTCACAAGTGTGTGGTCTTGGTTGCCCATTGTTTTACTGGCTTGTGATCTTGGCTGTGCTAAATTTGGAACATCATGGGTCTGGCATCTGTCTGAAGTCGGCATCCAAACAATTAATTATGTATACGCGAATTAGAAATAGACAGCAGATGTGAAGAAGGGAGGGGTGGGGGGGGGGGGGGGAGGGGGGGTGGAGAGAGAGAGAGAGAGTGTGTGTGTGTCCAGAGTAAGGTGAATGTGTGAACGTTTTCGTGTTGAGGTTCGCGTTAAGGGATTAAATTATATACTAGGGATGGAGCCATGTACCGGGTGTGTGGACTGTGGTCAGAGAGATCCAGTTAGTCTTTTACTGCATCTACGTGTGCGTGTACACACACACACACAC